TTAAAGTTGAGGGTTAGGGTTAGAGTTTTAATCTTACAAGTGATTTTGATAGAGCTTAAACTGTACCAACAGCTGATATCAAGCTCGATCAGCTGGTCAAGTTATTATTTAGGTAACTATACAGATAGCTGATATTGAGCTCTATCAGCTGGTAAAGTAATTATTTAGATAAATATATAGACAGCTGACATTGAACTTTATCAGCTGGTAAAGTTATTATTTAAATAACTATAAAGATAGCTGATATTGAGCTCTATCAGCTGGTAAAGTAATTATTTAGATAAATATATAGACAGCTGACATTGAACTTTATCAGCTGGTAAAGTTATTATTTAAATAACTATAAAGATAGCTGATATTGAGCTTATCAGCTGGTAAAGTAAATATTTAGATGACTATAAAGATAGCTGATATTGAGCTCTATCAGCTGGTAAAGTAAATATTATTTAGATAAATATACAGATAAATGATATTGAATATGATCATCTAAATTTTTACCTCAACTGAAGCTAAAGCACAATAGTATATTTTTAGATATACTTTAATAATTAAGCACAAGTTAAAGGTTATCAAATGAAATGAAGAGTGGGCTATACCAGTAATAATGGCAAATGATATATGCCTTGGATTCTTTCTTTCTGTAAGTATCACTACAAACACTGTTATTTGAATCTGAAAGTAAAACTGATATTTATAATCAATATTTGGAGAGTTTAATTTATTTTTCTTTTCAATTAAACCACATTTGTTAATAACAATTTAAAATATTTCATTGCGTCATATCAGAATTATATTACAAAAAATGTATTTTGATTGGCTAATTTGAATTAAAAAAATTTAAATCTAACCAATCAGAAATCAGTATTTAATATATGTTGCCATGAACATTTCAACTTCAACATTCCCAGAAAGGAGTAGTATATAATAAAATTGTGTTCTGTTTATATTGGAAGTATGTGCCGATTTTCTTGATATACACTAAAACTGTATAATAGTCTACATGCAGAGTTAGAGTAAACAAATAACTACAAAAAAAAACATTTTAATTTTCAATCAGACCTCTATGGATCCTTCAATTCCACTAAAACTAAGTGTTAGATGACATCACTAATGACCAGGGGCCTTTTTCATGATTTGCCATCAAACACTGAGTTTTAATTAAATTGCTGAAAGCACAAAGGTCTTAAAATTAGAATGGTGCAAATTGAAGCTATCTCTGGTACACATGAAAAATTTAGAAAACCTCTTTACAATCCCATTAATAAATAAAAACTTTGATATCTGTGTACCAAAAAGAGACATGATTTTAAACAGTTTAATTCTTATTTTGAATCTGGCACATATTCCCTCTCAAAAAAAATGTGCCAAAATGCCAAAGATTTTTTTAATTTAAAGTATTAAGAATACTTAGTATAAAGATTGAAGTGCACAAATCAACTTATTTGAAATTTATATAGTATTTTCCCATCTTGCTGTCAAGGGTAGTATAGATGTAGAAAAGTAAGATGTAAAACTCCATTCATTTCCCCACAGTGGAATAAACTGTCAGCAATATACATTTTTTTTTAAGAATTTTTTTTATTTCTCTATTGAGAAATTTTTCTACCAACACTGCCTTCATTTACTTGTGCCTTGTAATGCATTATTTCCCATTTTTTTTTTACACATTTACTACTAATCTGACTTATTTAGTGTTAGTTAATGTCTGTTTTTTATATTAATGGCATCTAAATTTCAGTGATGCCACATTTTCATGTTTCAATAATTCAAATGTATTTCTCTTCTGTGAATATTTGATATCAGTTACATTTTGTTTGAAAGCTGAATTTTATTAGAAACTTGTAATTCAAGGTATGTAGTAATCTGTTTGTTATACTAGGTGAAAAACCTCAATCTATAAGCTTCCTGTATCAGTTTTGGTACAACTTCTGGACACTTTACACTGCCATTGTTATTAATAGGATGTACACTGCAATTGTTATTAATATGATGAACACTGCCGTTTTTATTAATGACATACACTGCCATTTGTTATTTATATGATGTAGACTGCAATTTATGTACAATGTCATTGTTATTAATAGGATGCACACTGTCTTTGTTATTAATAGGATGCACACTGTCTTTATTATTAATCTGATGTACACGGTCATTGTTATTAATGACATACACTGCCATTTGTTATTTATATGATGTAGACTGCAATTTATGAACAGTGTCATTGTTATTAATATGATGCACACTGTCATTTGTTATTAATATGAAAACTGCCATTGTTATTAATCTGATGAACACTGCCATTGTTATTAATCTGATGTACACGGTCATTGCTATTAATATGATACACACTGTCATTTGTTGTTGATATGATACACACTGTCATTTGTTATTGATATGATGTACACTTAATTATTGTCATTTGTTATCTTTGTTTGTTAACTGAAAGATCTCATATCTATTATATTCTCACAATTTAATTGAGTTCACACTTTGAGAATGTTATTTATATCAAAGAAGTAAATTGTTGCCTGTATTTAATATGGTAACACAATACTATCCTATATTACTTCTGCCTTTTATTGTACACAAAGTTTCAACAATTTACATTGTCAATCGGGTCAATGTTACTGTTAGGATGTTTGGTACAATAAAACCCAGGAGAAGAATACTGTAATATTGAGTTCCATTTTTTAATGTGATCTCTATCCCTTAATGTTGCATGTAGATTATGTACCTGTTGAGCATGGCAAAAATGTTGAGATATTTGTTTATAGACGAACACGTGTGTTGTAAAAAACTGACCCATGTGGGAAAGGTCACAAATATGAAGATCAGTTTATTTTTAAGTCATTAAGATTTCTATACTGTGTATCTGTGTATTAATAACTTGTTGGAATATTTGTGTGTTATATTGCCAAATTTGAATATATTGTATGTAATATGGCCCTATGTGAAAATATTTGTGTGTGTATATACAAGATGAAAATGATATTTAATTAATGTGCTGTAAAAATTATTATACTTATTGGAGAAAAATCACAATAAAAATATCAAATTAGAAAATTGGGTATATTTTTGGGAATTTTTCAATCTGTTCCGTCATTTAAAAGCAATTAACCAACATGAGCGAGTGCCAACTATGTTTCAAAAAGTTGAACCGTCTGAATGACCTTGTATAGTATATTGAAAGTCACATCAAAATTTCGAATAAAGGTTACTATATTTATATTATTATGTCATAACCCTCCTACAACAGAACTGACTGGTCATATGGCCCAAAACACCTTACAACACAAACAATCTTGGTCACCAATTTTTGTCACCGACTTGAATCTTCAGTAAAATGTCATCAATCCCTTTAAAACATGATAAAAACATAAGTCTAGCTATGGAGAAAATTAACTTATTTACAACCCAAGGAAATGAATAACTGGTTTTGCTTTGACAATTTTATTTCAAAGATATGCATTTTTTCTTCATGATAAAAAAGAGACAAAACTTAAAAAATATAAATACTGAGAGATTCTGAAAAAAAATGAGCATGTTAAATAATAAGACCAATATTAATACTGTGTTTTGTGTCAAAAACAAGGAATTTTGTAACGGCTGTTTATTTTTTAAGTAATCCTTGCCGGAAACATCAGAGCTAAGCTATAGACTAACTTCAAAATGTCAAGCATCCAATACCTTGACTGCAATAACTGAGCGTGTAATTAGGGGCTCTGATTAGCATACAATACAATCAAATCCCTGTGGCTTACTGGAGTATATGTATTAGAAGCAGTTGATAATTGCTTGATATTTTGAAGATAAACTATAGCCGCGATATTTAAGGATATCTGTGTATGAATCAAAACATAGACTGGCATAGTCAGAAAAATGAACAGCTCTGCTCAAAAACAATTTTTGTTTGTAAAACAGAAATAAATAATGTTGATATAATGATATCAAAACAAATAAAGACTTAAAAACCTAGGAATTTGTGTACAGTAAAAAATAATAAAACAATACTAAGTTTGTGTTTAAAAACAGCATTAAGTAAAATTGATGTTACCACATCTAAAACAAGACAGTAAATACACCTCTAGATTAAACTAAAAGCAATTTTAATCCTATTCTCCGACTAGCAAAATAATCATTCTTTTATGAAATACCCAAAAAACCTACCCAGAAACTATAAATAAATTGGTTCCAATGAATCCATATGTTGATAATATTTTTAGATATTTAGTCAGATATGGCTGGCAAAAACACCTCTAGTCAATATTATGTTATATAACGGCGGTAGACAATAAATAGGACCCATATTTACATGTTGAATTAAAAAATTACAAGAAAGGTTTTAAGAAAAAACATTGTAACCAGGTAAAATAACTGGCCGTTCCTGGAAACTAATAACTTAACAAAAAAAACAACATAAAACATGGTTAAATATCACCACAAAATTCTAAAACTATCACTTTTTTTAAAATAACATACAAATAATCTACAGCTATCACAATTTATAAATAACATACAATCATATAACAATCTTAAAAACATACCATTTACCAATAAACCCAGACAATTTTATACTAAAAATTTGAGGGAATATTTAATTCCATGACAATTATTAAATAAAATAAGCGGTCAGTTTCTCAAAAAGTTCACAAATTGAATCAAGATCTAGGAAATACAATAGTATGATCTAAAATCAATTTTAATGGTTGATTTTTCAAATATACCATTTTTATATGACTCTAGAATAAACCTTTACATCGAAATAAAATTTTTACATTTTTAATCTTGTATTTATTTGTAAAGCCATCAAGAATAAAAATTAAAAAAGCATATTTTCCAATTAGTCTATAAATCTATTTTGACTTATTTCAATATGATTCAATAATATAATCTTTTATTGTATATTGTAAGGATTTAAAATTGTTTGGATTTCTAACTTGCTGCATTCATACATGGATCACTTGTAAAAGCGTTAAAGATTTCTCATTTATCCAATCATTTTAAGAGTTATTGCTAGTTTCAACATTACGGTGTCGGACTGTTGTATCGTGTTGGGTGTCTTCTTCAGGTAACAATTCCTCACTTCCATCAGCCCCTGTTTCATCCCGCTCCGATTCTGGTGCCACAGAATTGTCTTTTTCTCCAGCACACGATTCCGTCGAGTCTGATTCAGTCATTTTGATTTGGGAATCGTGCTGTCCGATATTTTCCACCTCTGATGACAATGATTGGGAAATATCATCCTCTGTATTATTAGATTGATCACTGGTAGCATTGCTGTCTTTTTTCCCCACAATTTCAAAACTGTCCATATCTGGACTGGAGTCGGTTGATTTTCCACTTTTTTCACCCTAAAATAGATACAATCGAAATAAATACCAAAATAAACGATGTTAGCTATAGGTAATAGGGATACAAGTTGCATCAGGTCTAATGGAAGAATATGTATTTTTAAGTATTTTTAAGTATTTCTAATAAAAGCATGTTATGTATAATCAAGTTCCTGATAAAAAAAGGAATTATGGGATACAGAAACCTAAAGCAGGGCAATATGTCAGCCTTTTTGGGTTTCCCTATACCACAATTCGTTATATCAAGAAATGGGTTTGGACGACTTGCTTTGATAGGTTAAAAATACTACTTTGACATGGACGTTTCTGTAGAAAACTTGTAAGAATACAATGAAGACTAAATGTATCGGAAATCAAAAAAGATAAGAAATTGTAATCTAATTTTGAGTAGAATGTACTGATATCTGCTGCAACAGAACCCAAATTCAAATTTTATATCTTAAATCAAGAACTTCAAATAATACATTTTATGTAGCATAAGTTGTATGTATATCAACTTTACAGATCAGTCCATATCATCAGATTTACAATGTTCTCATTCTTTTTACTCTGCATTGTGTTGTTAAAATGTATCTGAACCTCTGAGGTAGGGAAAGCTTACCCTTCCAGAACATATGGTTGTACTTGAAAATCAGGATCTGAACAAAACTATAAAACTCTGAATCCCTTCAATGCCAACAGGTTTCAAAATTTGACATGACTTACCTCTTGATTATCTTCAGAAGCTTTTTCGTCATTAGATGGTGATGATGGTGTACCACCAGCAGATTTCAGGACATCTTGGACGTCTGGATTAGCTGATGCTACATCTTCTACTTTGTGAGATACAGCTTGCATAGCTTGTAATATCTGGGTCATTTGAGCTTCTGTTTCCTCCAACCTTTTCTGTAAGGCTCGCATTTCTCCACTGCCTGTAATAGATAAAACACAACTTGAGCTCAGGTAGATCTCACATCTGGTCAAATCCTAGAGCACCTGTATTTTAGTGGCATCTAAAAGAATCTAATCAGTTGTGGAATTAAGTTCTATCATGTGATATGCATACAAATACTGACACCTTCATAGCTGAACTCAGATTGAAAATTTATCTAATGTACCAGTTAACAAAATATTCAAACTTACTGATATTTTTATCATCAGCTTTAATCAAAAGTTTTTCTAGTTCGTTAGTTTTTTGTTGTTTTAAAAACTCCTCCATCTTAGCCTCTGTATCCAAAGGGCCAGTATCGTAGACTGAAGCTGGATCTTTATTTAAATACTCTGTTAAATCATCCTGTCTCTCCTCCCCACTATTTTTATTAAATACCTGAGGAACGAAATGGATTCATTAATGTATCATGTTTGAATAAAATTCTTATTAAATTGAATAGTAGTCAGCAATAGTGCTGGGAATTACTAATCATGTCACGATCCATTATATACCCAATACAAGAACTATGATATGTATCTTATAATAGTTTGTGGTTAGAATAATTAATAATTGACAATATAAGCTCAGAAGGGAGTATAATTTCTATTTATTTTAATCAATTATTCATTAAACCTTTTAAACTAATTTGTATGGGAAATTACATCAAGTTCAACATAAAGCTATCACGAACAAAAAAACAGTAACACATAATATTCCATTTCAAAATTTTTCTTTTCTCAAGTTTGATTGGTTAAGTAGGGTTACTTAAAGCTGTCATGATCATTAACAGAACAGGTGGTAACATATTTTCCTCTGAAAATATTGTCATTTAGGATGGAACTTACTTTAACCAGAGTGTATATCAGATATAAAACTATTCCTACAGCATACATGGGTAATACAACCCCCATCATACCTCTACCACCACCCTGTTGGGCACGTTCCCGCTCCATTTCTGCTGCAGCTCGTAATCCAGGTGGGGGACCAGGCTTTAAAATAAAAATATTTTGCAGTCTTTCACAGAAAATAAGTAAGTTTATAATCTAGGCATAGTAACTCTTGAAATTATCTTACTTCATTTATGAGTCTGAATCTAACAATATTGTAATCCTTGGCTAGACGTTTCCAGATACAGAGATGTTTCTTTAACTCAATTTTCAAACTTACCCTCATGTGTGGTCTCATATCTGGTCGAGAGCCAGCCATTTTGGGGTCACTACTCTTATGAGGTGGACTAACTGAAATGATAAAAAAGCTTTATCTGAAAAGAGGAATAGAAACATGTGGCTCTACATTCTGATATGATCCTTTTATGAGTTCATGGTAGCTTTAATATTTAATTATTTGACATCTATGTCCTATATTTTGATTACATCTAAGAAAAACACTACTTACAAGGCGCTTCATTCGCATTTGATTCTTTCTTGTGAAGGCCAAATATCCTTAAAGTAATCGGATGAAGAAATCTTGGATATAGAACGGCAAAACAGCCGACAATTATAGCCAATGTTCCTGCAGTTTTTAATGTCAACATCTTCAATCAATGGCGGCTTGGTGGAATCTCGCTCAAGTCACGTGACCAGTAATAAATAAGTCTAAAACAGTAGTTAATGGGTTCTCAATGTCAACAAAGTTAATGGAAGTAATTCTGTTGTATATTTGTCATCATACACTGTAAACATGGCCTTTAGAATTCACAATCAAACCAGTAATAAGCCGACAAAGTTTTCCATACAGACGCCATCTCGCGAGAAACCAAACATGGCGCTCCCCGTAAAAGAACTTGCTTCTCTGCTGAGGTTATATATTTTGCAAATTTATTGGCTATTTTTCGAAAAAAATTGTTGTTGATGTCGTTGATGAAGAAAAAACGCATACTCTCACTGTCTAGCCAAACTTTTGCTTTGCAACACTGGTTGTTCTATAATAAACACCTTAGTGTGGGTAGGGAAAAAGATTGGGGGGGGGGGGGGAGTCTACAATGTTCACATAATTTCCACAGTTATTCTGCATTTTGGGGCACATCAGTAGGCCACAAAATCTATTTCTACATCTTCTTCATGGTCCAGGCTGATTTGAATGGATAATTCAATGCAGATTTTCCTACATTTGATCAATTAGTCTTATACATTGATAAACACAAATTTTTACTGGGACCATATTGATCAAAGATTTAGTTGAAATCATGCTAATTTTTGGGTCCATTTTCACTTAAGATTTTGAAACTATTTTCACTTTGGGCCATTATGGTTAAGTGCCAAGTTGACTATAACCCTTTTGCTGTACATCTTTATGGTACCAATAACATGATTTGTAATTTCAGTGTACTATCAGAAGATGCCACTCAAACTCAAACATTCGAAGCTCTATCCACCAGTTTTCATCATTATTTTAGCAAACAAGATCATTTTAAAGTTGGTTCAGCCATAGTAAGTAGTTTTATAATTTTATTTAATAAGATTTATGAAGATAAATAGTGTATTGGTATCCTGAAAAGGTCTATTTTACTTAACTAAGCTTATTTTAAGTAAGCTGAAACTGTGTCATTCAGTACCTTTTTCTAGGTCAGGATAATTTTAAGTGTGCAAGATGTGATGAGTGATCATGAATTTGATGAAATAAATATGATTATTTTAGAATGTGATGTTTAAGGTGCTGATATTATGTTTGTGATTAATTTTGAATTTATTATCTGTTTTTACTTCTTATGAAGCATGTAGAAGGTGTAATAGAAACTGTAATTGTAATCTTTACATTCAAAATTAACTTGAGTTTGACTTTGGATTCATAAAAAGAGTTAAAATTTTCTTTATTTAATATTTTTCAGGTGCTACTCCTCCAGAATCGAGATTTACTGCCCCACCCCACCCAGAAATTAGCAGCTATCTATCTACTGTATGATATGTATAAAACAGATAATGTTTCTGTCAATCCATTTGCTCCTGTTTTTATACATTTATTGGTAAGTTCAGCTGTATGCAACTGGTATTGAATAATCATTTGAATTAGTCCTACCCTGAAAACAGTAATTTGAAGTTTTTGGGGGGTAATGAGTCTGTCTGTAGTAAAAAGATTGCTGGGAAAGCTTAAGAGAAAATCACGGAATACTAAGGATTTATAGGGGGAAGTGGGGTAATGCCATTGTCTTAATGGAATGGTCTATCCATTTCTGTCATTATGAGAATCTGTTGAGATTTAACTTTTAAATCTTGGCCTTGTTTCATAAAAACATTACATAGATCATTTTGATTGGCTGATCACAAAAATTGATCATGTATTTAACCAATTAAATTACCGTATTCAATAAATCTGTATGTTTATTATTTGTGAAACAGGGCCTTGGTCAATTTGCTTTCTATATTTTTAGAATCCACCAACTGAAAAGAGTGAATCAGGACAATATGATCTCCACTGGGCTATCAGTCCTATTTCTCAATCAGAACGTGTATTTCTATCACAACTTATTACCAGTCCTACTAAAGATGTAAGATCTCTTTATCTCGATAAGCATTACCATAAAGAAAAAACTTAATTTAGGTTTAGAAATCAATTTGTCTGTAGCGTATGGAATGGATTTATAAGTTTTTAATAACACATAATAAGATGTTAATTTCAAACTTCATGTGGAAAACATGCTGAACATGAGCAACGGCATAGATTCTTGCCTGTCTTTCAATTTAGACAACTAAGACTATATTCTTTTTCAGATGCATAAGAAAAATCCAACCCAAGTTTTACAAATGGAGGTGACATCACAACCGGTTAGTAAGATTATCAGAATTATTTTAATATTGATTGATAAAACATTCATTTTCAGTCTGTAAGAGATTGACCCCATGTTAGTGATACAGGTGAGAGGAGCTATAACTGTCAATATGAAAATGTATAAAGCTGAAATGGGACTCTATAAGCTTGTCAAGTAAATGTTTAGATGACTGTACAGATAGTGTAAATTGAGCTAGTGAAGAAAATATTTTGAAAACTCTTCTCAAATCCGTGTAAAAAGTTGTTGGTATAAATTTCAGTGTGATATTTCTGGTCTACAAGTTAACCTGGTAGAGAAACAGTCTGAGTTACCTCATCTTTCTAAATCTGCTATACCTTGTGTAGTACCTGATCCTGATAATAAACCTACTAGGTAAGTTCGGGTCAGGGCAATATTTGCCAGACATGTCTGTTGTCTGTCCAAAATGTCCTCTAGCCTCTTTTGGACATTAGGTACAGAACATAGCATTTTGTTCATCAAGAGAGCAGAGCAGTAGGACATAAAACTCTCATAGACAAATAAGGTGCAGAACAGTAGGATGTAAAATCAAGAAATGAAATTAAATGAATGGAGTTTTATGTCCTACTTTTTTGCACCATTTAATTTCACTCCCTTAGATTAGTATAGTCTATTATATATTTGTAGCTTTGAACAGTTCAACAAACCTGGTATGATCAACCCTGATGTACAGAGACAAACTCTGGAGAAATTATTAACTGGAACCAAACCTCCAGTAGAGAACGCTATGAAACCAGAGTTTATACGATTGGCTCCACCTTTACATTATGCTGAAGATGAGGTAGGAGAGATTACTAATATAAAATTGTGATCCGTCAGTATGCCACTGTCCATAATGTGCACCCTTCGACAAGCATTATATATGAAAAAAAGCGTGAAGAGTTCAAGGTCACAGAAATAAAATTGTGGTCAGTCAGGAGAGATTGTGGAACTTATAACAGTTAACAATGTACACCCATCAATTTGGCAATTTGACTAAAAATACAAAATAATATGTTGTAATATTTCTGTATTTTACAGTTAGTATGGATGAATCCATGTATGGGCGAAGTAGATGTAATATGGGATGCCACGATGGGATTATCCAGTTCTACAGGATCAAAAGTTCGGAGATTAATGGTAGAAGCATTCCGAACCCAACTCCAGCCATCACAACAACAATTTATACTAGATGAACTGGAGAAAGATCCCAAACTTGTTTATCAAATAGGTCTCACTCCTGCTAAGGTACAGTTGTCTAAGCAACTTCAATGTTAATTTTGGTAGATTAAATCGAGCTCCATTTAATGCATGGAGCCTAGTAAGCTCAGCGAATGAGAGACTTTCTCACTAACATGAAGTTCTGGGGTTTGATCACTTCATTGAGCAATCAAGAGCAATACCTTGATTGTTCAACCTGGTTTGCCCTTGATACAGGTAGGGAAGGGGCTGACATAGGAGATGCATCTAGTTTGTATAGAAGTCAACATTTGAAAATGTAATTAAATATCGAGGGAAAACTTTCCATATTGTCCACTTCATGGGTTACGTCTCAATACTTTCATGTATTTAAGTTTTGTTTCATATTTTACAGCTACCAGATCTGGTGGAAAGACATCCACTGATTGCAATAGAAGCTTTATTAAAACTGATGGTTTCCTCTCAAATCACAGAGTAAGTTATTAAAGAAGACCAACCCTTTTTTAAGGGATGGGAATTATATCTGAGTTTTTTTTAGAAGTGTTAGATAATTTTTATATGTCAGCCTAATCTTTTGGGAAAATCTGCATTTTTTTCATCATGATTATTTTTATTTCATCATGAGTTTTTGTGCTTATATTTGTATGCTGATTAAAAAAAGTTTTATTTTTTATTCACCCTCAATATTTTTTATTTGTAGTTACTTTTCTGTGCTAGTGAATATGGAGATGTCACTACATTCTATGGAGGTCGTCAACAGATTGACAACTGTAAGTTTAGTAGTTACCCTATATTTAGTGCGCAGTCTTTTACCCATAAAAGAAAAATTGAGTTGTGCATTATAATGAAATTAAACACAAATTGATTTGTAAAAAGTGTTGTCAAAACCTAAGCTTCGTAATCTTAAAACCTGGTTTTGAAATAGCCCAAAAAACCTAGGTTTTCGAGTTGGGGGAAATCTGAGGTAGACTCCTTAATCAGCAGTCTCCAAATTTGATTATATATTTCCAGCAAGTGGAGCTACCCCCTGAGTTTATACACCTGTATATTTCTAACTGTATATCAACGTGTGAAACTATACAAGATAAATATATGCAGAACAGATTAGTGCGATTAGTCTGTGTTTTTCTACAATCTTTAATAAGAAACAGAACAATAGATGTCAGGGTATGTACTCTTAAATATCTTTTAGAATATTTTCTCATGAATTGAAATATCTTTAACATAGTTTAAGCTCTGTGGAAGGTGATATATATGTTTTGCATAGTTAAGCGAAGCAAAGATTTTTGTCAATTTCCACTTTTTAAATCATAAACACAATAATTTTCATACTTTAGAGGTATGTTCCAAAAAGAAACGCATAGATTCTTGAAAGCAGTAAAGAATTGAAAAAATTAGATGTGTACATTTTACTTTCTCTTTCCAGGATATATTTATAGAAGTTCAAGCGTTCTGTATTGAGTTCAGTCGAATACGAGAAGCTGCTGCTTTATTTCGTCTGTTAAAATCTCTAGATAGTAACGACCCTCCACAACCCAACTCTAATTCACGATAGAATTATTTTACTAGAGCCAATTAGTGTTAAGGACTCATCAAAAAGTTTGTTTTGAGATTGGAAGATTTTTAAGTGTATTGGACCCAAAAACTGGTCCCTAAATAAAAACAAGAATATTTAGTTATTCACATGGACTAATGCTGGCTATGAAAAGCAATGCTACAGTCATGCTTGACTATCATATATCAATCAAACGATGACCAATCATATACATAGTTCATTATACCTTGACATTGTGAAGATAATGAAAATCAATCAGGTGGGATGATCTATGGATCTATAGTGACATGTAAATACGGAACCAATGATGTATGTGCTTGAATATAATAATAATGGAACAAATTTTCAATGTGAATTGTCCAGTAAATAACTCGTAAATTCATAAACTTTGTCTGTTTTCATCAACGAGTCATATTCATATTCAGTTCCATTTAGATGATATACAAGAAAATGTCAAATTTGTCTGACTATAAGAGAATTTTCTGTGTTTGTCAGAAGTATGTAAAATAAATCAATGTAACTACCACAATTATAGTTTTTGTGATTATCAGGGTAGACTAGCTGATTAAAACACAGAGCTAAATATTATCACCCTATTTGTCATATCAGGAACAAGCCAAATTACAAAATTGAAAGGAGGGATATATAAATCTGCCTTTATGTATGTTTTGAATTATCCTCAGGTAAGACTTTTAAGTTTTTACCTCCAAAACTACTCCTAATTAGGCTAATGAAGATTAGCAACGTCATGCAGTGGGCAATTTTTGCCAGGACAGCAACATAAGTCTACCCTTTTCTCGATTTCGAACTATCGATGGATCTTGAAAATGCACAGCCTGTAGCAAATGAGACCTAGGTTCATAGTTCCATCTGAACGACCAGCTGGTTCTCCGAGCTGGATCTAGACCTATGTCGAGATCTAACCCTGCACCTTCAGTCTTACAAGTTAGTATCTAACTCACTGAGCCACGACAGCTTCCCTTACTTTACACCTTGCCGAATTATCTCTAAAGAATTCTGAACACACTGATCTACATAAACAAGTTCTCCACTTTAATTTCTTTTTTATTTTATTTTCTGTCTTAGAAATAAAATCATTGATCACAACAGGTTCGTTTTTAACAACAAATCTCTAGATACAACAAAATAGACAATCAGTAGGTTCATCATCTTCTCAATATCAAGCTCTTATGAACTGGGTCCTATACCTTGACTAAAATAGCCGCCTTTCTTGTATCACAGAGGTTTGTAAAGGAAGAGAATACGAATGGATTGTATAATTGCAACTACAGCCAATCAGAGTCCTTGACAGAAGTCTGTAGGCATTAAGCTATTTTTACAGTCTTTTCGTCAAGGCCACATTTCTTTCTTTACAAACTTCAGTGATACCAGAAAAGTGGTTTTGTAGTCTAGCTATATGACACAATTTGTAATAGCTTGACATTGGGAAGGTTTTAGGTTCATATATTCCTTGCCATGCTTATAGGAAGAACAAAATATTATATAAATATATAATCTGTTAGTCCATTAACAATACAGAACAAAGTTTCTCCCTAATCAATTAATCAGAAGTGAGAAAATCGGCAAGTTGAAAGTCCCAATCATTTAGACAAAGCTATCTTTGTCAAATTCGTATCTTACTCTACTATTACTTTTAATAGCACCCAAAGAGATGATTCATCTGGTCAATTTGATTCCATGATTTCATTAAATAAAAACAAACATCCTCAAAACTGATGTTAAAATAGAAACTTACAATGTTGATTGCTTACGTTGATTATAGTTCCATGAATTAATTCCACAAAAACAAAACAAATATCACAATAATCTCAATTGATTTGAATTCCTCATGTTCATTTTAAATAAAGGCACCAGTTCAATTGTTTAATCATTTGATTAATAACAAAGTCATCTTGATTGGCATCACAATTTATCATCCAATTGGTATTTCAAAATCAGTCAAATTCTGGCCAAATATTCAATGCTTTTGAACTTGAGTTCTTTTACTTTTGCTGGATACATGTGCAGTGATTGCAAAGAAGTATGTTCTTCTGAGAGCTGTTCTAGCTATCAAATACACTTCAATTTGTCTTCAGTCAACATTGTCAGTCTATTTGCTGTCTATTCTTTCCAAACTTTGGCTGCATTTTCAAACAAATTTTCCATGTACCGCTACCGGTAATTTCCAAAATTATTTTCTTTCTGGACACGCTATCAGGCTAGCACTATGTATGCTGCTTACTGACTTCTACATTCTTAACCAAACCATGGATTCCATCTGAAAGCTGATTCCATGTCATTTACATCTGATGTCATTTGTTGCTTTCTGGACAGACACTGAATCCCTGGCTTCCATCTGGAAGCAAATATCACATGCAATTTCTGATTCCATTCATTTGCTACTTTCTGGACAGACTTCCCAACCTGGTTTCATTCTAGCACTTATATTCAACATGAAAATTACACTCGCACTCTTGAGTAACGGCCACGCCTGGACCTCATTCTAAATCTTGTAGATTAATAGTGGTACCAGTAAAATCTGATTTATTACAGCTGGCCGCCGGGGGTGAGGAGAGATTATTCAATACCTCATCACTCGACTCCATCAAATCTTCAGGGTAAATCTCGGGGTGAGGGGGATCATCCTGGAAAATAATACACAGAATTCAGTCAATTACAGGGATACATCTTAACCAGCCTAAGGACTAGAGTAGATGAGGTATGGTGCACAGTGCAGGATCATTGATACAGTTGAAAATAGAAGACAGTTAGACACAAGGTATGGGTCTGGAAACAGTCCTGACACAATATGCTTCTACTATTTTCTATTTCCACCTTTGGCCACATATTTTCTGGAATTAAGAATTCTTTGGCAGAATTCAATTAAATAAAGTGTCCTACTTTTCTGTCCTCCATTGACCATGCACTGTCCAATGAATCAATAAGCTTATATATTGTTCTGTGACCTAGGTCACATCTCAACTCTATAAACCCGTGCATCAAACACGGGGGAAACTGGGTTGAAAAAATCAGGTATCATCTTAACCTATGGTGAGATTGAAGTCACAGACGCTTCCACTAATCAATTTGAGAAAAACAATAACCAATAGTATTAAACACTCCCTACCTGTAAAAGTTGAGTCTGTACGTAAGTTATTCCAGTCTCAGGATCACGGAACATCAAACCTTGTGTATTTGAAATGTCGGTTGAGGTAAAATCTGTATTGAACGCTGGTAAAACTAGACTATTGATCTTCTCGTTGGATTCTACAATTATACAAAATCACCCAGGTTAAAAGGTTTTTTTATTTGTGTATTTGGAATACTGATATCATCGATTTGCACCACTCCCATTTCCAGGCAAAATGCAGCCATTTGATAGCAGTTTTGCGAGTGAATACAGCCAAAGGCCTTGACAGACAGTATGGCTTTTTGTTTAAAGACTTTCTGTTTGGCTGTATTTGCTAACATGCAATCAAACCAAATAGCTGCATTTACAAACTTCCATGATAAAAGAAAGGTGGCTATTGTAAGTTTGTAATAGCTTGGTAATGTGAAGAAAATGTTCAAGAAGTTGTGATGAGAATATTCACTGCAACCTTACCTCTACGAAGATTTTCCATGTCCTCTGAATCTGTATTTAAAGCTCGTAGTGAATGCCAGCGTTTACGAGCCCTGTCACTCAATATATGGTTACTACGGTAATCTGTTCTAGCTGAACCACTGGTATTTTCTAACGCCACGCGACTTATTACTGTTGGTACTGAAAGACACAAAATTGTAGAAAATGAAACCATTTACAGAGGAAACAGATGAAAAGCTGACGAGTATGAAACTGTCTGCTGGACAGATTTCCTTTGTTTTCAAATATAATTAAGATTATTCCTAGGTGGGCGTATCACTGAATATACCAGTATAAAGTACTTACAGTCAGGAGATACAGTATTGGTAGATGTAGGTTTAGGTGTATGAACTGTTTTGCCAGTTAACAGTGATACAGCTGTACCTGTATTGCCCTGTTGTACTGGTATTATGGTTCCTATATTACTAGCGTCTGCTGTCAACATCACAGTTTCATTTACATTTCCTGAAATTTCAGATTAGATCTTGACTCTTACTTCTAGAAACAAATTTTCTGCATGTAAAATTCATAGCACAAGGTTTTTTTTTGATAAGTTACTTTAGACCAAATCTTAAATAACTGTCCCAGGGAAGTAGTTTTGTGTTATGGATTGAAAATCATATCATCCTAAACCAGGTTTTTATATAAAAAATGTGCCTCATCCAAAGAAATAAACTCTTAATAATAAGCAATAGCTGATAGACAATCAAAATTTTGCGGGAATTTTCGTAGGAATATATGTGCATACCAAATTTCAACTAAAAACCGCACATACTTGATGTTTTGAATAAAGAGATGAATAAATATTTTGATTTTATACATCAATAGATGAACATTTCAAGTGTCTTTGCATAGATAATTTCATATCTAAACCATTTTTAACAGAATAAATGAATAACCTTACCAGTATTGATAAATTCTGCAGTGTTAATCACACTGTTATTATTACTATTATTATTACCACTAGCTGGGGTGTCTGTCAACAGTTGAGGTATTGATACATCTACAAAATAACAAATAATCAAATGAATTTGTCAAACAATGGAATATGACAACTTCATTCAAACCAAGTGTACGATTTTCATACAATTTTCACTCATAGTGATAATCTGATCAAGTTTTTTGGATGAAGCAGTCGGTATATCCAGTATTTTTGCTATTAATGAATTGCATATGTTTTGTGTTCCTTGAACTTCCTATGTACAATTCGTCTTAGAGAAACATCACTGAAAGTACTTACTGATAGTACTGGGTGTTGGAGTCTCAGAAGATGAGGTTATCAAGTTGTCTATAGTCGTATCTGATATCTCATCCCCTGTTAACAACGGTACAAGATCTAAATTACTACCTTCACTACCTGTAAATATATACAAGAAAAAATATAAAAAGCAATAAGCAAATATGAATAAATTAACTATCAAATAAATAAACATAAAATAAATAACCCATGAAAAAAATATATGGCCCATGAAATAAACAAATCAAGAAATAAATGATCATAAAATATATAAATCATAAAAAATATAGAAATACCACTGTTAAAATAGTGCTCAATACATCAATTGTAGAGCTATATAGAATTACCACTGTTAAAATAGTGCTCAATACAACAATTGTAGAGTGATATAGAAATACCACTGTTAAAATAGTGCTCAATACATCAATTGTAGAGTGATATAGAAATACCACTGTTAAAATAGTGCTCAATACATCAATTGTAGAGTGATATAGAAATACCACTGTTAAAATAGTGTTCAATACATCAATTGTAGAGCTATATAGAAATACCACTGTTAAAATAGTGCTCGATACATCAATTGTAGAGTGATATAGAAATACCACTGTTAAAATAGTGCTCAATACATCAATTGTAGAGTGATATAGAAATACCACTGTTAAAATAGTGCTCAATACATCAATTGTAGAGTGATATAGAAATAGCACTGTTAAAATAGTGCTCAATACATCAATTATAGAGCGATATAGAAATATCACTGTTAAAATAATGCTCAATACATCAATTATAGAGCTATATAGAAATACCACTGTTAAAATAGTGCTCAATACATCAATTGTAGAGCTATATAGAAATTCCACTATCAAAATAGTGCTCAATACATTAATTGTAGAGCTATATAGAAATACCACTATCAAAATAGTGCTCAATACATCAATTGTAGAGTGATATAGAAATATCACTGTTAAAATAGTGCTCAATACAACAATTGTAGAGTGATATAGAAATACAATTATTAAAATAGTGCTCAATACAACAATTGTAGAGTGATATAGAAATACCACTATCAAAATAGTGCTCAATACAACAATTGTAGAGTGATATAGAAATACCACTATCAAAATAGTGCTCAATACAACAATTGTAGAGTGATATAGAAATATTAAAATAGAATGAAAAAACACTATGAGTAACAACAACACATTATTCTGAATTATTCTGAAATATAAATAGGATATTTACATTGGTTTATCTTTTGTGATAAAATACGCCAAAATGTTATATTTTTTAATTGTAAAAATACCGTAAGTAAAAAACTTGGGTCAATCATTGTTTTCGTTTTCGATGTATTCATATGCCTTATTGTTACGTGACAAACTACAATTATTGGAAAATAAACGCCGGTTTGGCTAACCGGTTTATTGAAGGGAGTGATTGTAGAAATGTAAATATTACATCTTAAATTACTAACCTGGAGTGATGTTGAGATAATGTTTGAGAATATGGTTACGTAGATTAGATTTGCTGGCATAGTGACTAAGACAGCCCTCTATAGGACAATGGTATGTTATTTTTTTATCTGTTGACTCATGTTTCCTTAAATGAACATTCAGACTTCCCTTGGCTGAAAACTTGGCCATACAATCTGAAAATAAAGTTGGATAACCTCTTCATCAGTTTTTGGAACATTTTGAAATTGATCTGACAACTATGTTGCAACCTTTCAGAAATTATTGATCAATAAGCAGGAAAGGATACAGTTGAAAAAATGAGTTTTTTTTTATTATATGTCTCTATCTATAAGGTTATTCTTCACTTCTTTTTGGCTATTGTACAGAAGAAAGTTGCACAAACAACATCATAAAATCTGCCAGGTGCTTTTTTATATTGAGAAATATCAGATGACAGATGTTTATTTTACTATTTTTTGAGAAACAGTTCTGATAAATTATCTGAGACTGGATAAAAAAGAAAATCTTACTTCCTACAGGACAGTTGAATGGTTTATCACCAAAATGAGTGATCATGTGACCTTTCAAATGTTCGGACCTCATGAAACCTTTTAAACAGATGTTACAAGTCCAGCGCCTCAACCCAGTGTGTTTCGCAGAATGTCGTTTTAATTTACTAGCTGTAGCAAACGCCCAAGTACATCCCTAAAACAATAAAATCCACTATAAATTTCACATCAGACTGTTTGGAGCAATATACTTAAGTATAGAGTATAACAAGCTATGTGGAAATCTTGCCTTAAGTAAAATCTGAGTTTCCATTACAGGGGATCTCTCATCTTGAAGTCCCTTTTTTCATTGTCAATTCCTGCTTCTCGAGGCACTGCAAGGGGGGAAACCAGGTTGTAATATCTAAACGAAAATATCTGAATCTAGCTTATTACTCAACTAAGTTAAAACCTTTCCCATGGAATTTTCAAACTGAGCAAATGAGTTAACAAACTAATATAAATTCTTACCTCATATGTACAAACGTATGGTCTCTCTCCAGTGTGCTGTCGTGTATGTTGTTTTAAACGACACATTTTATCAAACACTTTCCCACACCCTTCAAATTTACATTGTAGATCTTCTTTCTCTATAAGATGTACTCTAGCATGGGAGCCCATACAATTCCTTGAGAAAAATACCTTATCACATCCTTCATGGGGACATCTGAAAAAAAAAACATCCATATTTCTTTTAGATCCACAATAAACCTCAAACTCAAATTCTTTCAAACTGATCATAGCCTGCTCCTATATCATATTTGACTCAAACAATTGGGCTCTGTAGGGAGAGGTTTCAGTCTGTTATGGCATTTTTGCCAATTAGTAATCAAAACTCAACCCCAAAATGAAACTACAAGTTTGTGGAACGAGTCTGAGAGAAGATGACTTATACAAAGTCATTGGACTTTCACCTGTGGACCAAGATTAGAACCCATGACCACAATTTGTCTGATGTAACCATGCAAATGATGTCACGTACAAAACCAACGGTATACAGAACTTCAACATTAATGATTATATAAAATTCTTACTTGTAGTTTTTCTCCATGCCAGCATGAGATCTCATGTGAAGATCTAATTGACGTTTGTTGGTGAACTGTTGACGACATGACTGTTTAGGACAGATCTCCGTAAACGGACGTTCGTGAAGTTTCTTGTGGGAGTTTAGATTATAAATTGTAGTAAATTTTCTTCCACATCCTTCAAATGTACACTGAAATAAGAAAGTTGATCAATGCTTCATTCCAATTACCAAAAACCAATGATACCCAAAGATATCGTATGTAAGATTTTTCCGTTATCGTTTTGCATGACAAAAAATAAACTTACATGAAAATCTTTCCTCCCTCCGTGAGCCTCAGCATGTCGTTTTAATTTATAAGCTGTGGTAAAAGCCCAGTCACACCCTGGTGATGAACACTATAATAACAAACAAGATTTTATTTTAATCTATGATTACATTTTCTGACTGGAGTAAAAGGGTAACAAAATTTATCAAAACTCACATATAAAAAATAATTATTCAATTATTTCAAGATTTCCTGATATTTGACTTTTTGGAAAATGCATCCAACACAGAACACAATTTAATAATTCAAAATAGATCTTACATAAATTGTTGTGTACAATTAAACCTAAAAGTAGTATACCATAAAATCATACCATTATTTAATGTGATCTCTACCCCTAAATGTCACAAAAGGAATTATGTAAGACTCAATCTACCTTATGTGGTCGTTCACCGGTATGTCTCATCTGATGCACTTTTAACTTGGATAATTTTCTAAAAACTTTATTACAGCCTTCTTCTTGACAGATCCAAATCTTCTTACTCGGACTGCCCTGTGAATAAAAATGTGAAACTTTTTAGACTTCTGATTTGGTCTATGAAGTAGTATGAGAAGAACCACATTTCAGAATTTCTTTTAGAAAAAGGCGAAAATTGAGCTCTATCGTATCTGCTTGTAGATCAATTATATAGACAGGCCTTATAAATCAAAGTAGTTTCACATTTTTTCTGCCTTATTACAACCTCTTTAATATCCCTTATTTGGCTGATGAAATAAAATGGAGACCTATCTAAAATAAAAACTTACATCAGTGGTTGGTGGTACAGACAGAATCATACTCTGACCGCTATTAGATTCTGAATTTATCGGTAATAATAAATAACCTGAATCATATCAAAAAAAAGAACTGCAAACATTGAGGCTAAACAAAAAAAAAAATAGCATTAGTTTGATAAATAATAGTTAATCTGATTAAAATGAAGATATTTTGTCTTGTGTTTTTGATACCCTTCATGATCCGACAAGTTTTTCATTGAATTGTGTTGAGTAGAATTTTGACCTGACAGCATCAACAAATCAGCTTCAGGAGAATACATTTAGAATGACAGTCATTCATATAAAAGATCAAGAGAGTTTCTGCAAAATAAGTTTAAATTTACCTGTGCCTTGAACTTGAAGAGGAGAGACTGCAGTCATTACAGGTGAAGGCTGAGTTGGTGTTACTACAGTTGGAGTGACAGGACTAGTAACAGCTGGTGTCGAGGCTTCCTGAGGTTGAGCTAAAGGTTGCAACGCATTCGTCGCTTGGGTCAAGTCTGCTGTATTTATTAAATAGAGTTGTTGCCCTTGATTAGTATTCACAAGAATTTGAGTTGAATTGGCAACTTTGTCTGTAGAGATTGAAATTGTTGCTAGGGTGAGATTTGGTTGTGAGGGATTCTCCGTCTCTGGTTGGCCGGGAGTTGGTTGAGCAACGACATACGTTCCAGTACTTGAAGGTATAATAGTCTGCGAAGGGTTTAAAATGTTAATTTTTTTGGTGAGTTCCAATTCTGTTCTATTTTGATCAACATTATTTAAAGACTGGACTATATTTCCCGATTGTGTAGTCTCTAATATCACAGAAGAAGTATTAGCACTATTAGATGACACTGTTTCAGGATTAGATTTTATAGGAGTTATGGCCCCTTCTGAGTTTAAAACACCAGTCTCCAACACAAAACCTTGTCTTTGTAGAGATTCTATTTGTTCTGGGGAAAGAAGAATTGTTTTTGGACTTGATTTGTCTGTTGACGCTGGAAGTAGATTATCCAGTCCTCCAAGTGTTCTACAAGTCTACTGGAATCGATCAGCCCTGATTGTGGTGCTATATGAATAACGTCCGGATTAACATTCAATGTGGATGTCGTAAGAACTCCAGTATCATTACAAATACTTATCACTGTACTGTCATCTACTTCCTCAACTTCTGGAGAAAAGAAAAATTTGAAATGATACAATTATGATAGTAATAGTTTGATTTATAGCACAAATTCCACATTAGTTCTAGATTATGCTTTACAAAAGATGTGACAATAATACGAGAGCTTATCTTACAGCTATAGTTTGTATTTCAAGGTTTTTCATACTAATCATAAAATCAGATCTACTATGCACAAAATTTGCACATGATACATAGTCTTGAAACAGTTAATAGATTTCCGGTAGGATTTCAAAGGTTTGGCAGTTGGCAGGACGTTCAGACATAATTACCATGTTAGCCTGATAATTGTGGTATTATAAGAAACAGTTTCAGTTCCAGTAAAGTTCCATATTTCATATATACAGTGTGATAAATGACACAGGTACCTCTTATAATGACCCAAGCCATTTGATCTAAAAGCAATGATCTTCATCTTCATGCAAGGTCATTGGCAGTGATTAATCAGCAGAATTGATATTTTTGTTTTGATTTTATGTTGGATTATCAATAATATAAGAGATTATCTAATAAGTGATATGATTAAGATGACGGATTGTACAGATTTTTCTGAATGATTGGACCACTGATTTGTGTTGTCACTCAATTATAGGCCTACACAAAATGTCTGAGCACTAAGAAGTTTTTTTTAAAATGACATAAGAAAGAGATAATAAATATGTCTGTTTACAGAAAATGTCTGATATCACAGAATACACTGTACTGTACACTGTGTTACCGTTGCAAATACAGTTTTTGATTTTGTTTTTATCTTTAGTAATTAACCAAGATTAACCCGGGAACAAAAGGTTATTGCCAAAAATTAGTGTCAAAATCATTAACTGTTTCAACACTAATAATGATACAGTAGCCTAAATACAAAAAATATAATAAATATCATACTGCAGTTCTCAATAAGAATTAATTTTCAAAGCTCAGCTATAGTGCAAACTCTGCCACTAGCAACACAGTGTAGGCCATTAACTAAAAATCATGTAGCCTTTTCCAAAACTTCATCAAGTGACAGTCCACATGTGTTGTTGTTTACATCATGACGTCATTATTAACAATCAACCAATAAAATCTGCGAATTTTTACCTTCTGGAGAAATGGTCTCCATTTCCTCGAACAATTCGATTCCTTTTTCATCTTTTACTCCTAAATCCAGCAGATCATTTCCACTCGTCGCCATCCCAAAATCTACACCTTCTAGACTCCGACATCTCGACTTCAACCATTCGGTATTATTTTCAATGACAGCTCGATCGTAGCTGTCCAAATCTTCACTAGATGACAATAAAGCCATTGTTTCTTCAGTTGTCTGAGCTCCGCCATTTTCTAAACCAATGGAAGAAACGGCTACTGTTTCGTTGACAGACTTCTGTAAGAAATCACCGTCTAAAATTCGACTATTTTCAATATTTTCATCAACTGAAGTGTTTTCATGTGTTGTTTGGTGGACGCCGCCATCTTTCAGCCTATTTTCCACCCCTGTTAAAGACATAATAAACCCCGGTTAGATTTTCTCTCTGGGGTTCGCCATTATACATTTTATGGTCACGTGATGACAGGTACCCTTACGTCATCATCTTCTAACGACCTGCCTTCTTTTTCGGGTACATGTTAAAATCCAAATGGGTTTGGGAGTTGGCTAAGTCAAGTCGGGGGAAGATGGGAGTGTACTGAAAACAAACTGCGGGGGTGAGAATACAGTACATTCCCTCGGATCGACTCTTCATTTTGTTGGGAGACCTGACATAAATCTTTAACAGGAACGGGTCCTTTTTTACCCATTTCTAATTTTGAAGTCCCATGGACTTCAGTGTGAAGATTCTTAAAATTCAGTACTACGTACAATGTGCCTATATAAGAAAAGGGAAATTTAATTTGAATATCACGTTTCAAAGACTAAAGAATGTTCGCTTTCCGCAATGGTCTATGGGAGATAACTCCATTTATAATATAAATTGAGACAACAACTAAACAATAAAGACAGTTTTCAGGAGAACAGGATTCTAATTTAGTTACCTAATTTAGGTAAAGATCATCTCCATCGGGGAGCAAAGAGATATTAGGATTATGCTTTTGATTGACTTTTGGAGTGCTGGGGTGCAGCCAACAAAATGATGCGGATAAAGAAAAAAAATTGTTTTTTTTTTATGAAGCTTGCACATACTCCGTTTTATTTCTGGTACCTGCATTGAAAGTAGTAGCTCTTTATATAAGGAAGTATATCAATCATAAGTTAGTATTTCAAAATGAACAGTATTTATACACCTCTATATCATTTCATTTTCAAGTCAAGTTGCTGTAATAATGATCTAAAGCAATCCAGTCTTTGTTTCTCGGTGTCTTCTAAAGTCTTTACCAATTCCTTTAGGGTTGGTTCCATTTCTAGTAATAGCCTGGGAATATATTCAATATGAACCCCACACAATATCGCCCGACCCTGGCCAACTCGAGATTTTATGATTGCTGGTGGCGTTCCAGGAATTTCACAATATCGGCTTAGAATTTCCAGTTCTGATACACCAGAAGTAGGACCGGTGTTTCTTTCTTGGGGATCACTAAGTATGTCATGATTTAGGTTTAGAGCCATTGGTTCAGACCGTTCGCCTGAAGCTTGGCCTAATCCAGATTTTTGATTCTTATCCTCTGTCGTCGTGGTGCAATTTGAGTTGCCTTCCGTTACTGATACTCTTTTATAGTCGTCATTGTTTTTCGGATAATTTTGACCCGTTTTCGTGGCAAGATCTGAGTCCCTAAGAGAGCCTGTGATTCCACCATTGTCAAAAGTTCTGTCATAAATTTGACAAACTGTTCGAGGTCTCAAATGATTACTACCAAAGCCTTTGTCATGGAAATGTTTATAGTCTTCGAGAGATGGTTTAAAATTGTTGCGTATCGGATCTAACCGTTCATTCCAGTCAGCAGTCCGTGTCAGTTGAATATGCCTTGATTCGTTCAGTAGAAAGCATCCTCCTCCGTGAAAATATGTAAAGATTATCTCTCTTGTAGTTCCAGACGTTTGGAAATCGATCGGAGCAGCCATAGATCCTTTCAAGTCGTCATATTTGAATCCTGGATACACCGGACCTCGTCCGCACCCAGGGAAAAATTTGAGATGTCGCTCCCCACACACTTCCAGTTGCCCACCTTTATCAAATTCAATATAATCACAACCAAAATACCCCCCTGCACAAATACCCAAATATTTCCCCCCGTTCAAAACATAGGATCGGATCTTCGCTACCCCTACTGAGCCTAAAGTCCGGATAAATCCTTTATCGAACCCACCACCGAACGCCATTACTGCTGCATCTCTAGTCCATGTTCCCTTCAAGATTTCGTCTGGTGAAATGAACTGGACATTATACCTGGTGGAAAGATTTTCTACTAAGGAATGCTTGAGATGAAGCTTGGATACTTCACTGGCGCCTTCGCCGTCATAAATATACACACAGTTTTTGGTTGACATGTTTCTAACCGCTCTACAAACGTTTGTTACTTTTTGGAGAAACCAAAGATTGGTCATATCATCGGAGGATTTGGAAGCACGCCACTTTTATACAGTCGTAGATATCCGAACACTCTTCTGAATACATTCTAGGTTACCATCTACAAAATACAGATAAATATACCAACGTTTAGTCGCCATGAAGATCAATCCAAAGCAAAGCACAATGCGTTTCCTGTGATTAAAATGAGATTGATGTATACATAAGAAGTCCAAAAGGATATAAGATTGCTTCGTAGTTAAATTCTGTGGTCAGAGCGACATTTGAGCTTATCAAGCTATTGTTTCTAACCAGATATCAGATTGCTTGATAGATTGTGGTCGAAGTGAGACTATCTTTAAATGGTATTCATGCCGATGCTCCGATTGGCTGTATTTTCCAGCGTACAATTCAATCAAACCGCAGCGGTCTGCGTTGCTGTCGGTTTATTAGATTGGATTTCACAATTGCTAGACATAGCTAAGGAGTGCGACTGGATTTTTGGATGGGTAATGAGGCGCATATTTTTTTGGACAAATATAATTTAAGTAGCTCTATTCAGTAAGGAATCATATACAAGACTCTTTCCGAAAGTGTAGTCATAAAGCTCTCATTAGTCTTACACCTTTGAAATCATCCTGTAACAGATGCCAGCGTAAAGGCGAATAAATGAGGTACGGCAATATCCATACAATGGTGTGTTCACTCCTATTTTCGTTTGTATTGATTATTCAGCACCTAACCTCGTATATTCGCGGCTTCATAAGTTTTTCGCCTATTCCACAAGCCAAGATAATTGTACACCTCGATAGTGACTATTCAAGGATTCAGTAATATCCTTAATTGAAATTATATTAAAAGATGCGTGTTTGGATCAACCCCAAGACTCTTAGAGAATAGAGACTAATGATTCATAGAGTCAGCAAGGTACCCCCCACAGTATTTCAAAGAAATGACACAAATTTAAGATTATTTTAATGTTTTTTAGAATTTGATGAATTCTTTTCGACTTCCAGCAGCCTTCATGACCTTCAAGACGTTAAATCTGACAGTTTTACTGAGAGGTCGACATTCACCAACTGTAACAGTATCACCGATCTTTACATCCCTGCAATAAATACACAAAATTATACAAAATGTGTCATAATTGCACACTTCCAGTTTGTCAATTGTTCAAAGCTGTGCAGTATACAAACAATATAAAATAATTTGGGCAAGAAATAATATTCTTCTGTCTCCAACGAGATTTTGTGATGTGACAGTTTATCAACTGAATACACCTTTCATTCATGTTACAAAATCCCAGCATAGAAAAAAAAAGAAATTGGATTGGCTGGGAGTGTCATCAAACAGATGAATGTTCAAGAGGTCCTTCTAGACACTAGAGTTTATCTTATTTGAAAAACGAGTCCTTAAATCTTGCTTAAAAAAGTTTCACCCTTTTACAGTTTGATTGCAATTAGCATTTTGAAACATTATGACAACCCTGGATGGATGAAAATTATATTTCAGAATCATGGTTTGTCCTCAGGGTTTTAGGAAGACCGTCATGATATATTCATCATAAATAAATTGGACAATTCAAATTACAGATCAGTAAAGCTAAACAGAAAAAAATCCTGGTACAGAAAATATTTCAGAATCATGTTTTGTCCTCAGAATTTTAGGAAGACCGTCATGATATATTCATCATTAATATTTCTTGCAGCCCTTAATGGGCTTTGTAATTTCTTCATGTGTAGTGGAGACTTAATAGCATTGATTAGGACCAATTCCATTTATTAGCAATACATCTGCAAGTCTAACAATTCCACTGATACAAAGCAGCTATCACTAAGGCACTAAGATATCATGAGCCACTTTTACAAAAGTAACATTATAATTTATTGAGTATTGGTGAAATAGTAAGAACCACAGACATCTGACTGAAAATTGGAATGGTGAAAATAGATTCTATCAAGAGAGGCACTCTTCCAAAAGACCAGACTCCACACTGTAATTAGGTAGTACATCCTGTCCGAAAGAGAAGCCTACAAAGTTATAATTTTATTTGGTATTGGGGTTTGTCAACTTGACATTCCTCTATTGTTTATTTAGTTTTTTAATGAAATATAGGTACTAACCTAAAACAAGGACTCAGATGTACGGAGATGTTTTTGTGCCGTCGTTCAAATCGTTTATATTTAGTAACATAGTGAATGTAATCTCGTCGTACCACTATTGTTCTCTGCATCTTCATCTTCTGTACAACTCCCATTAAAATACGTCCTCGAATATTCACGTTTCCAGTGAATGGACATTTTTTGTCGATATATGTTCCCTCAATAGCCTGAAAAGACATGAAATTAATGTAGTATTCAAGAGTATAAATATCAAATTGTGAAGGAAATTTGACCATTTTGTTTTTAAGCCATATTTGACTGGATTTCTATTTTATTCAGCGTAGAAAATCTACAAAATACTTCAGAATCATGGTTTGTCCTCAGGGTTATAGGAAGACCGTCATGATATATTCATCATTAATAAAATGGATTTCCTTGGTTGGATTCTTTCTGAAACTTAAGATACTGTTGCAAAGAGAGCGCTTATCAATCAGCATTGTTTCCTCAAGTCTAGTACAGAGAGTTCCTTTACTTGATTCATATGTCTTATAATGGAATTGAACTTTTCGAACCAGCTGTCTGAAAGTTACGAGATTTGGAATCCATTGGACCAATCATACCTTAAGTCTCAGAAGCAGGATTCTTTCCAGCTAGTGTTCACAGATCACTATCTAAATTTGAGCCTTTGAATCCATGTGTCCAGAAATTTTGAGACAACTTATATAGAGACACATATAGAAATAGAAAGTGACATTTCTAGTTATCAATATATTTGAAGGCACAATGCCATTTTCTATTTCTAGTACTTCTGAAGACTATTTATGGAAGCTTATATTCAAGACCCAAATCAAAATGGTGAACAATGGTTAATGAAGGATAGATTCTAAAAACTTGTATATGATATATCTTGAAAACAAAATATTTCAGAATCATGGTTTGTCCTCAGGATTTTAGGAAGACCGTCATGATATATTCATCATAAATAAATTGAACATTTCAAATCAGAAATCAATTCGGCTAAATATCCAATAAAGGTTATAAAATGGTTAAAAAGACATTTCAGAATCATGTTTTGTCCTCAGAGTTTTAGGAAGACCGTCATGATATATTCATCATAAATAAATTGGACAATTCAAATCAAAGATAAGTAAGGCTCACCATCCCATATAACAGGAAAAAATCCTGGTACAGAAATATTTCAGAATCATGGTTTGTCCTCAGAATTTTAGGAAGACCGTCATGATATATTCATCATTAATATTTTTTCGGTTTTAAACTGTTTAACTTGCCATTTGAGTTTAGATAAACATTTTACTAAAGATTCCTAACCAGCTTAGATGCACATTAAAGCAAATTAAAGGATAAATTCACTAGATTCCCGAGCTAAAAATCAATGGATTAATGGTAACTTTAGTCTTGATCTGATTACTTCCATTTTGGAATTTTGACTTTCCACCATTGCTTTCAAAGAACAGGTCAATTAGCGGTGAGGAAAAAATCTAACATGTTTCCTGAAGTTATGGTTTGGAATTTGGCTTTAAAAACCAATACTCACTTCTTTAGGGGTTCTAAATCCAAGACCAACTTTTTTCACATAGCGAAGATTTTTACCCTTGCCAGCATACAAGGCAAGTTTCTTGTAACCAAAAACATGGTTTTGCTTCTGAAAAGCTTTCTGATTCTGTAATAAACAAAGACACAATAAATACAACATACACACATAGACATGAACACCAATTTGTGTTAAATGCATTAGTTAGTTTCAAAAAGGCCAACAGCAACAGTCAAATCTTTCCAAGGGGGCAAATTATTAGCCATGGGCAAGTTCTGCACAACACAGATGGAATACACGACAGACTACTACAGCCAGGGATTTCAATAATAACTAGACTAAAACTTATCAATAATTGAGAAAGGTAGGCTTGGAACTTTGTGATGAAATTTGCACCAATCTACATTACAGAGAATAATGATTACTTATCTATTCAAGATCTGTTTGGTAAGAAATATTTGCATTACAATTCGCGAGTGTCCTCTACTAAAAAATAATCCGGCAAGTAATATCGAATAAGGGGGGATGGGGACTTCGAATGTTTACCCACGTGTTTTTATTACGTGATCAAACTCCAAAATTTGAGAGACAATTGTCGCAAAAATACTGCAGGGACATTTATAATAGGTTGGGCCTCGACATCGGTGGTAATATATAAGTAGTCAGTCAATGAGCGGGACGAAAAATGAATTCTTTTGAAGGAAAACACGGACCTGTTCAGCCATGGTGGTCTCAGACAGGAAAAGGACGACGTGGGTTTCAACTTCCGGTACGCGGAGTTCTGTGTTCTCGAGCGTCAATCGTGTCGTTACGGGTCAGAGATGTTGTCATGAATTTATCATGAAAAACGAGGCAAAGGTTGTTTTCAAGATATATATTATATAAATTTTGAGATATTTTGAATATTAAAGATCCGACATAATACACCAGGCGGAATCCTCCTAACTAGTGTCACACGGAACAGAAGCACAGTGCCTCTAGTGGTGACTTCTACTCAAAACAAAATGTTGTCCCTTCGCTTCGGCTCACGAGGAATACTTATTTCGGTAAAACTTTTATGATATTGTTGCTCCAGATGAGAGATTCAGTATATTTCATTATATTCATTCACAACAGTTCCACATATTTGGCAATATAAGCAATTATCCATAGGAAAAAAGTGAAACAAGTTTTAGTACAGGGTAGACAATTCTTATTCGTTGGCATACAGACTACAACTAAAGAATTATATGTTTTGTACTTTAATTTTTAGGGAAAGAGACTCCTGTCTATGACTCCATCAAGGTTGACTGAATCTAGTTCATCAGAGCCACCACAGGAACCAAAGAAAAAAGGTGAGTTCAGAATTTTTTCCCCGTTATTATTAAGTTTATTCAGATACGTTTCCAAATACCAAAATAATATTAGTTGGCATTTTTATCAAGCCAAAGACTCCTCTGAGTACTATTTTGAAGTCAAAATTTCAGTTCAAGAAATTGTGTCAACCAATACTTGAACACTTTAATCAGTATTTCGGCATTTCATCTGAATCATAACTTATCATCCAAGCTCTGTCTGATTCTAATCAGACTATAACACATTTATGCAGCATTTTGATGCAGTTTTACCAGTGATCAATGTAGAGCTTTTTTTAAATGAAGGCCAAAAACTGTAATAAATCTTTAACACATTTATGTAGCAGAAACTACGACATCTTAGAAACAAACAGCCAAAATCTAATTCTTACTATAAATATAATAAAATTGTATATTTCAGCTGCTAAAAGTGAACCAGCACCTGTCACTCCATCAAAACCAAACTGGGACAACTCCAAATATCAAGTATCTGAATATTACCAACATAATCCTATGTCATTTTTTGATTTAGATGTAGAAATGGCATCTCAAAGACTTCCACAACCTTCAAGTTTAAAACAGTGATTTAGTTCTCATATAGTTTGTAAATATTTATGAAATAAATTCAATCTTTTGAAACAATTATCTGGTTGATTTGGTAAACATCTGTTGATGTGGATATTTTTCTGCTGTAAACATTAACTAACTGCAGCCTATCCTGTAAACAGGGCTTGTAATATCTCCAGACATGGTCCAGACATGAACTTTTTTTTATTATGGATTCACAGTGCAGCATTAGTCCGTAATGGATACCAGTTGGTGTGACAGTTCATGACAGCCAAAGCGCTGATGACCTGAGACAGCCAATCAAATCGCTAATGGCCTCCAGGAAAATGGCAGAGAAAAATTTCATAATTTTCACTACCCTCTGAGTAAGTTCATGTTTGTGATAAACTAAACTTGGTGTTGACAATAATTGACTCTATTATTCTATGCATGAATTTGGTCGATTTTATTGCACAGTAAGTTCAGAATTTGACCATCAATCTTGTCAACACAGTGTAGACAGACCTGCTACAGACACATCGTTAGACTCCAAGTTGACAGTCGAGTACTGTGTCCTACTGTCAATGTATTTGACTACTTGTTACAGATTGATGATAAACGGGAGTTGCAGTTGCAATATTTTCAGCAACCCCCATATCAGGTGTTTTTATTAATACATTGAACATATCTTATATAAAACTTTCATAAAAATATAAAAATTTTATTAACAATATTTTTTAGATCATTTCTGATACACACAGTAAATTGACACACAAGTTGATATGAATATCAATGCAGGGTCGTATTTCAGATTCTAAAAAGGATTGTCCCCAATCTGTATCTTGTAGAGTAATAGCACTAGGACTACACCATTCTTGAACTTCAAGTGTGGACTTCAATATCAAATTTCTTCCAGTCCTGCAATTTCTTAACACATAAGCATTGATCACTTTTTCTAAATGTCCTTTATTTCTGGTTCCAAAACTGTTTTGTTTTGTGGTTTTGGAAATTTGTTTTTAGGTTCTTTATTCCAAATTGACAAAACTTTGCCCTTGCCTTAACCTTCATTCTGTATCTTGTAGAGTAAAATCGTAAGATTGAAACAATGTTTTAAAATCTAATGTCTGTTCAGTTTCTTCTTCACGACTAATTTTACAATTCTTCCAATCTGCTCGTTCTGGCATGTTTAAAATTCCTGATTCAGCCAAAACCTCTCTACAATATACAAAAAAATTTGTTAATTTTCTTGAAACAAAATTAATTACAAGTTCTCTGCAGTATTTTACACAAGTCGCTTCCCTTGACACACTAAAGGGAGACAATCTACATAAATAATATCTTGGTGGTGCTTGATTGGTGTGTTCGGAGTAATTTCTGTTTGTTCAAATTCTGGCCTGAATCAAATGGCACAGAACCAGTTCATGTCACATTCAAAATTTTCCTTTCTATTCATTTCTAAATCTTTTTTTAAAACTCAAGTGAAATGCGTTCTGAACTCTGTTCCAACTTGTTTTATGTTTATGAATACTGAATGTGCAGAACTCACCATTCTTGATGTGCAGGGAACTGAAATTTACATAATGACAAATCTCCATAGAAACAACAAACCTTGTTGGAATGTTATAAGTAATTTCCCATCTTTTTGAAGTGTTTTGTTATTTTCTACTGAAGTGGTCAGATCACATCATGGGTGACAAATGGGAAGTAGAAACATTTTGTTATTTTTTTCAAACAGACAATCAAACACAAGGCTGGTTTGGTTGTAAAATTTCAATATTGACATTCTAGGAAGAAATAAAGTGAAGTAAAACAAACCTTCCAAATTGAAGAGGAAAGTTTTTGGAGATTCTGTGTAAAAGTTTGTCACCAAGTGGAAGTTCAGCATAAAAATATGGCACACCAACTGGAATAATCTACAACAAAAATTATAAATTGATACCATGATCTATCTATGTTAAGATATAAAATGGAGAACAAATACAGCACAATGACTTGATTAATCCAATTCGATTTAAAATTTCTCCACTCAATTATACAAATTTTGCTACACAACCATTACCTTGTACTTAAGACTTGTTTTTGTCCATGTCTTAGGGATTATAAGAAGGGGGATGCTATCTAATGCTTGTGTATCATATTCAAAATTATATAAATTGGTAATGAAGTCAAACAAAATATAGGTGACCTTGATAGATTGCTGGTGGTTGATTGATTGATTGGTGAATCAGGTTCCAATTCTAGCCTCAATCGAACTGTACAGAACCAAAATTTTCCCTTCTATTCCATTTGAATTCTGTTTGCACCTACTATTTCTTCAGCATATGAGGAGAGCGTTTTTTTTTTTTTTTTTTTTTTTTTTTATGTACGGTTGATTCCATGAATTCTAAATGTGCAGAGCTCACCAACTTGCTCGATTTGCCCTATTGTAACAAACCTGTTTAAGATCGGAATGTTTGGGTATCTCGTCTAACTGTAAACTTTCATTGTCAGCACATTCCATAAATACATCCTTCACTTCCTGTATGGCCTCACTTTTTACTGGTACAACCTATAAATAGTAACATTGTATAAATACATCTATAACTGGTGCAACCTATAAATTTGCCAGTACCTTTCTTCTGAGAAGTAGAAATTGTCAGAGAATAGTGTCAAAAAAAAAAAAAGAATCTGTCTTACTTACTTGTATCTGAAGATGCTGAGTTCTAAAATTTCTTTCAAAAAACACCACTCCATTACCCTGGTCTTTAAAACATTTTTTTAAACATGTTTTATATCAGGAATAGAGTTAAGGATATAACATAAAATAAAATACACTTTGTTGATCCAGTCTAGGCTACTAGTTGAACATTCTTATGGAAGTTGGAACAGAGAGCAGACACTTGGAAGGAGATCAAAAGCACTAGACTGGGCACACAAAATTTAGGCATCTTCTTACCCAGCAAATGTCTAAGTTACCCCATTGATCTTGCACAGGGTTTTTTGGGTAAATGAGCTGAAGGATTTTCATAACTTATTTTTTGAAGTCTGTCTTGTTCCAGTATTCTAGTTGTAATGCTCTATTAAGGCGCACAAGTCACAAGTTGAGAAACCCTGCTCTACTGAGTTACAATCCAACTTCTCTACACACCAATCTATCATGATTAGAGTAAATGATAAAGGATACTGCTCTATCTCATTACGAACATCTTGTGGAGCTGAAACTGTGGACTGATGATGTCCTATGGGTAGGATTAAAACATGATCTGGTACTAAACCACCTTTAGCCAGTGCTACATAACACTACAAATAAAATAATAGACATATAACCAAAAGTTATAATTCAAAGTCAGGGGCAAGAAAAGCATAAGAGTTATCTTTATAATACTTACCAAATAAATATTAAACCATAATTACCTTTCTTGCCATAAGTGAAATTGCCGCCAACTATTATTTCGTTCTGATTTTAAAAGAAAGTATTTACCTCTGTTCCAACACTGACTACCAGATGTTTCTCCACTTCTGGACTTCCCAAACAAAACCAACATGGTCCAGTTGGTTGAGCTGAAATTAAAATTGGTACAAGTCTTTTACAGCTGTCCTGTTTTAATGATTGTATCTTTAACCAATCAAATTTCCCGACAGTGACAAATTTGTGATAGTGAATCCCAAAGAAAATGTCATATTGCGTTAATTCTAGCTTGGCTTTTTTTAAACAGAGACTAAGGTAGAAAACTTGTTAGATTACAATGTAGATGAAAATACAGACAAAAAGAATCGAAATTGTAATCTAATCTAATTCTAATTAAAATTAAATCCCCGAAATATTCTTTTCAATAACCCCCAAGCTGATATTTTTACTTATTAAATTCACACCAAAAAGTGTCTTATTAAGATATTTGAATATATAAAGGGAAAGAGGAGAAAAAATAGTTAAAATAGAAACATACGATGATGTTTTTTCTTCTGTTTATGATCTGAGTTGTCGCCCTTCCGTTTGACTCCCTGATTATCTTTCTGTTTTAAATTATAAAAAAACTGTGAATCTGAATCATCCGTCTGAAAATTGATAAAAATAGAAGATAGTGTATACAAGAAACAAAATATTTCTACTGATCAAATAGTGCACTATGCATTAATTGCAGAGCCATTTAGAAATAGATAGAAATATTCAAATAAAACATGTTCATTTTTTATTTTCACACAAACTAAGATTCAATCAAAATTTAAAGAATAATTTTGAATTGAAATCAACCTCGTGGGTTGACTTCTGATGGATTCTGTAGTACCCATGTGGCTGTGTTTTGCCAATTATATCTAAATAAAGGTTCAGTGTGCCTAATAGTGATTAAAAAAATTTAACGTTAATAAAATCTACACGTGACAATTAATAGTATTATCCCTGATTAAAAATAATACGAAAAATACCTTATTGGATGACCAATATCGAGATATAGGATAGGGACATTCTGTACAATCTTCAGGTTGTTTGACCAGTTCTACACTGGGCATTGTACTCATGGGTTCAATATTAAATGCATATAAAAACTGAAAAAACAACATAAATTATAATATAAACCAAGTGCTGTATATTGTGCTGTTAACTCCGGAATGTTGATATTGCGTAGAGATTCACACTAAAATTCAGTATGTACAAAATGCGTTTTGTAGCAGAAATATACTTTATTTACATAATGTTATGTCACAATTGAATCTGACCTTACAAACTGGGTAATTAAAAACTAAATGTATGGAAATGTAGATTACAGTGATGTAGTAAGAAATATTGTAATTTCCATTTAACTAAGGATAAAATTGTTCACCAAAGCATAATGATCAATAAAACATTAACCTTCTTCTTTTCTTTATTGCCAACTTTAGCAAGTCCAATAAACCTTGTTGTGTGTCTGGCACTTTCTATCAAAACTTGATGGTTCCTGGAATAAAAAATTGCAATTTTTTAAAAATCTTTTAAAAAAATTTTATGTTGGATTTAATACAATTTCAAAGTGGTAAAGCCAAAAGTCAAAATTCACTAGTCAAAAGCACAAGTCAGTACGGCTTCCTGATTCACTAGTCATTGAGTCAATGCCTTGTACACGATCTGCTTTGAAAAAAACATTCAGATTCAAGTAAGTCTATTTACAATTACAATTTGTTCTTCTGTTCAGACAGTTCAGTGGATCTACATGTAAAATGATTCGCCATTTCCAACCACTTGTTCTGAAATGGATTTTGTATTTAAAACACATACTAAAAGCAAAGCTTTCATTAATAGATAAACATATAAAAGAATTTACCTATATGGTTGTCTTTCATAGAAAACTCCCTCCAATCCAGCAAAATGATATCTTGGTCGTAGAATTCTGGCTATCTCAGATACACCTTCTGATCCGACTAGCTTTCCCTCTTCTAAACCTTCCTGTACAATACAATAGAAAATAGATTCATTTACATAGTAGTGTCCTACAGGCTAAAATTATAACCAGACATCTTACAGCTCTATTCAGACTACTTTTACTTTTCTTCTCCTGACTTAACTAAAACATTGTGCAATGATAATTATTTTGCAAGATCAGCTGTATAAGCCTACTCCTTTTTTATTTCCTGTTGTAGTGGGATCTTTAATATGCGCAGTCTGTGGAACGTTTTGGCCGAAGGATTTTGTCTTTTCTGAATGTCAATATACATGAGCACAGCAGAAAAACATGTGATAAGGTAACAAAAAACATTTGACCATAAAACATAGCAGAAAAAGGTATATGAAGAAGAATCAAATATTTAAACAACTTACTGCTTGTGAAGCATATTTCTGGACCCCTCTGGGCCACTGTGAAGTTATCAAAATATCGATCCCAATGTAATTAGGGTCAGATATCACTGGTAAAACTAGACTACATGTATCTTTGTGAGTAAAATGGGATTTATCACCCTCTTCCGTAGAACTCTCTAATCCACTGAGATAGGCAATCTGTAAACCTGAACTTGTAGTGTATCTTCCTCGCTTTCCTAAAAATAAAAAAAAAATCAACTTTGTGTTTAAACACCAAATATTCTGAGTTTGTGTTTAAACACCAAATATTCTGAGTTAATTAGTTATTTTCTTAAATGAGATGACATGATACATCTAGCTTCAAACTCGTAGTCCCATTCATTTTATTGGACAAAAAAAAAAGGGGCATGTTTTATGAAAATTTAACATAGGATGATTTTAGTATCTCTATCATTTGATTGGTCTATTCCTCAAATTGATTTTAAATTCAGTTTTATTAACCAATCAGATTGCTATTTTTCTTACAGTCTTGCTTGTATCTTAGCTATAGGTCTGAATATCACTGGAGATCCAATTAATATTCAGATAATAAACAGAAAAAACATGAATTTAACTCTCACCTAAATAAGTGATGTTATCACACATTTCCTGGCCATCAATAATATTCAGCTTGAAACGGGTGGGTTGGACCTAGTATTAATGTTGTTATAGGCACTGAAATTATTAATATATTCTGAATTGAAGTAAACAGTGTTTGAAATTTGAGATGTCTTTGCAATAAACCATGGCATAAAATGAAAAAAGAATTAATGAAACAATTCAAATTGCAAATACAAATCAATTCATTACCATTACCAAGTTTATATTCGATAGCTTAAAATTTCTAACCTTTCTTGGTTAGAAGGGTAATTTGAAAAACTAAATGAATATTGAGTGCCAAGAAATTCTTATTGCACAAACCTTTAATTTTGCCTGATTTATAATCTTCCCATTCAGCAGAATCATTACCGAAAAAATCTCCCACACACAATAATACCTAGAATATATAAATATACCACTGATAAGACCAATAATATAACCAGAAAAATAAAACCTAAGAAAAATAAAATAAAAATCGCGGTGTAATATTTCAGACAATGTAGATTATGCCTTAATAAACCAAGTAACCCTTAAACTTAACGTTCAGGGAGAATAGCCTCATTAGATACTCTTAGATAATAACTGTTGGAACATTTCACTTTTCTACAGCGCTTTTCCAAATATGAATCTGACATGACATTAAACAGATAGATACAAACCTTAAGATGTACTGGTAATATGATTTTTGCTACAGAGGATTTATTTTAGATTCAGAAGAAAGTTCTAACTTACATCAAAATTTCCACCTTTTTTCTGAATAGCTGAAACTCTGTTATATAACTGATTAAATTTACCACAAACATCTCCACAAGCTAGTCTAAAAACAAAATTTAGACCAGATAAATAGATTTGTCATCTTTACTTTAATAAACATTAATTCACTTCAAATGTCCAAATAAACAAAAGTTTGGTTCTGTTTTTTTTTTTATTATTAGCTTTTATTCTTAATATAGCCACTTCAGTTAGGTCTAACAACAGCCCTTTTGAACATTTGTCAAATAAACCTTTTGACCTCACAAGATGACGTCTGCTTTAACCAATCAAAATATTACCCTCTCTACTTCCAGTACTGGTATTTTGTGACACATTAGGTAAGGTCAAAAAGGTAAAGATGACTAATATTCAACAGGGTTATCGCAAGACCATAACTGAAGTGGCTATTTTAAAAATAAAAGCTAATAAAAAAACGAATGAACATTTGGTCTCATTTCAATTAGACTAAAAATAAATGACTACTTCTATGTTATATAAATATTAATAATATATTTTGTACCTGACCCTTTTCCAGCTGACAACTGTCACAATAGCTATCAGAGGCTGGAGTACAGGCAGAGGTTTAGTACTAATGCCAAGGATGAGGGTTGGTGAATTCGGGGTAAATAAATTAATATGTCTAAGAAATTCTGCACCTTCTGAGGAGTGGAATAAATTCATCAAATAGAGCCTTGATTTTCTGGCATTACTACAGCCCAAAACTTTTACAATATATTATCAGAGGCTGGAATAAAGGCAGATGTTTCGGATTATGCTCATGGCCGAGGATCTTGGCGCACTCTTTGAAGTATTTTGCATTGACATGGACGAAGATATATTATTGAATTAAATAAATGATGAAGATTGATCAACATACACTTTTAATGTTTTTCCTGTCATTTCGAAGTTAGGACAACTGTAAAATCGTGTCAACTCTTAATAATTAGTTGCACAGTAACTTAACAGTAAAAATAATGTTTATATCGATGGGCGCTGACATTTTGTCATTTCCGCAGAAGTACTTAAAAAAAAAAATTTAAATCTAAAAGGAAAAAAAAATCTCTAGAAAATCTCTGAAAACAGTTTTTTTTCATTGAGTAACAACACGAAATACTATTTTTTGGGGAGATATTTTCAGGTATTTTTCAAAAATTGTTGATTTTTTAGTCTATGGGAGATAACTCTTGTTAGATATTATTATTACCAGACTACACATGTTTAATTAACTACTAGGGCGCAATGTTTGCTATCAGACTGATAACATAAACTTTTAATTTTAAAAGCAATTGTTGAGAGAAAAAATTAATGCTGTGCTGTGTTGCTGTAGGCTGTTCAAACAGAATGTGTGTGTACCACCAGAAGAACATAGGAAAATAGGATCTCTCCAAATAATGAAACCATTTAGAATATTTACAAAAGTTTAATAACTATCTTCATAGTATTAACAATTTTAAAAAAGAATTAAGGAGGTAGTACTTTATTTTCTTGCTATAGTAATGAATGGAGAATGATATCCTGGACAGATTGGACTTTTAAAAATGAACTGAGGTTTAATCTAACTAGTACCCATCTCACTGACAGGATGTGTAAGGGTTTTTGATTCGGCTGCATTTACCGTCATGTCTTACTTGAGCTCTAAATGTATTGGTCATTTTTGGTAACAGACATAACAAATGCATTTTTTTTTTGAAAATCCCTACCTCCCTCCAATAAATGTTAAATTCTGTTACCTTAAAATTGCCACAGAACCCAGACAAAGGGGTAAAGATGAATCCAGAATTTATTTCACCTATAATTTAGATCTCCCTTTATACATGTCTACAACTGATGCATGAATAGCCTCATGATACAAGTCTAACTTCATATTTTGGAAACTTTGACGATTGTGTTTAAATTTAGTAACGATTGCCAGCATAATTTTTTCTGATTCTATTTGCAGTTCTGATTTGTCAAATATAAAATCTATGAGTCTGTCTTTCAACGCGTCTGGAGCTGTGAATCTTTTCCCATAAATTAACAATTCATTTTGTACTGGGCCCCGAGGTATCTTGTGTCTGAAAAGCAAAAGATTTCTTTAGGAAACTGGGTTCTTATTCTTGACAACTTGAATCAAGATGATTTAAATGTTCCAGTCATCTTATTGGTCAATCACTAAAATAGATTTTGAATTTAGCTTTATTATCCAATCAGATAATTACTGTATTTCTTAAAATCTTGATTTGATCTGGACAGAAGAATGGTGATGGATTCAGATTCTCTGTAGAGGGATTATTAACATGTACATCCTGTAGCACACAAGGCTTCCTACCTGCTTCACTGTTGAAAGATCTGGAGAGGCAATTTAGATCTATTCTTATTGAGTCTACCTACTTGCGCTTTTATTTGATCAAAAATGATGTGACTTGTAGATCAAAAATAAAAAATCTTACATTATAACTTCCATGAAGAATTGACTGAGTCGAAGATCAATAAAAACTTCGTTCATCGATAACCAGCCTCGTTCCGTCCTCATACTTCGATAGTCGTGACATAACGCTAGTAAATATCCACCAGCAAAACTGTGTCCTAGAATTACATAAGTTACTTTATCACATTGTATATATATAATTCAAAACATAAACTTGAGCTGTCAACACAGGACTTTCTTCTTGCCAATTGGACATTTTTCAACAAACTTGTGAAATCTGAGCTAATTTTTCACAAGAGATGGTCATGATGTTTGCCAAAATGATGTCAACTGTGTCATATAACCAGCTGTTTTTACTAAATTCCTCAATATATTTATTCTGCCAGAGTACCAGTATCAAAATTAATTTTGTAGTAGCTGACAGTCAACAGTATTTTTGGCCAAATATAATTTCTGATAAAACCAGTCATAGACTGGTGCATCAGGTGTTCCAAAGGGCAAGCATCCCCAGAAAATATACCTTTACCGAGATGATTCGAAATTCAAAGCAGAAAGGACGAAGGGAAACTTTGTCTACTAGAAGAGTCAGGCCTTTTGTATATACTGTACACCTACCCATCAAACAGCTTTGTGGAGATCCCTGTACCACAGCCCACAGTGGCTTGAAGAAGCGCACTAAAGGCAAAAGCCTGTTCCCCCAATCCAATTGTGTAAATCAATATTGTTCTTACAAAAAAGGGGCTTAAGGAATGACCTCTGGCGCAAAGTCATGCTTTGAAAAAATATTTTGATTCTGATATTCACCCACCATTTAAAGCTGCTAACGTGGGAATGGGAAATGTGAGAATACGTGTCAAGAATTGTTTTATAGTATTTAAATATTCTTCTCGGTTATTCCCTGATCGTAAATATTGTAAGTCTAAACCATTACTGAAAAACTTTCCACTTGCTGTTGATATGACAGCTTTACACTCTGTATTCCTACAAATATAGAAACGAAAGATTATGACAGGCTGACACTGAGAGCACTCCATTATCCTAAACGTTATAATAAACATTTTTTACTGGTTTAACAAAATTGACAAAATACATGATAGCTCCAGAGTTTCAAGAAATTTTACTGTAATTCAAGAAGAGAACCCAGGGGGCTGATAATATTAATTCTCTCAACTCCACAATAGAACTGTAATGGATATTATAGTTTTATACCTTTCTACTTCATCTAATGCTTCACTGTAGCATCGTACAAAATCTAAACTCAGTCGTTTTTCACCTTCACCAAAGTTTATGATGCCAATGCCATTTCTGAACGAAACACTCACACAGTGATTTTTCGATGACATTTTAGATTTTGATCTACTTTTTATGATTTACATTTCGTCTTACACAGTCCGAAACAAAGTCCACAAAGATATAAATATGTCAAGATTACCCAGACAAAATTTGGTGTAGACTTTATGCAAGTAAAAACGACTGATAAGTTGAGACTACCGACAAAAATCCCGACCTTGACCTCCAAGGTATTTTGTGCGGACCTGTTTTGTTTACAACATGGCCGTCGTTGCTGAGAAAAAAGTCTAAGATCAAGTGTTTTATTTCAGTCTTGTTCGTCTGGAGATAGAATAAGAAAATGGCTGATGGGTTTGGTAGTATCACTTGGTGGGGATTTTCCCCTGCTTTAGATTTACAAGAAAATGGTAAGATCATTTTGTTATCACATAAAATAATGTTTTAGAACAGGGTCGTCCCAGTCGGCTGGTCTATCTTATTTACAGTCAAGTAACCTAATTTCGTGGAAACCTATTATTCGTGGATTTCCGGAAAGGATTAATAATTTACATGAGCGACCTTGCGCGACCTCCGCATTAGTTTGTTTTGATAATCATGGGTTTTCTCTACAATATCAGCTAGTAGAATGAATCCAGTAGTTTCAAGCAAGGTAAAATGTATTAATGTATACTTTGACAAATACAAAATGGCGGATTTCAGTTATTACCAAACATCACCATTTTTTATCGGCCGAATTTCCTTATAATCCCAAGCGGTAATCGGAATTCCAAGTGTCGTCTGCTAGAATGTAGTCCAACGAATGAAGTCACGTGATCAACTAGCGGATTCCGTGTCAGCAGAAAATTTCTATAGAACACAAAGTGGACCATATTCTTATGTTATTTCAGTGACTTTTAGCAATAAATCACGCTACGTATCTTATTTTGTCAGTCACTATTTTATTTTAAAATCGTGGTTCTTTGAAGGAATTGTCACTAGTTATAATGAATTGATATTAAAGATAAATACTAAGAGAAGTTAATTATACCACCCGGTATCCATACAACGTGTTTTTATAGACTTATTTATAGATCAAACATTGTACACGAAAATAGGTGACGCATTCTGCCGCCGTTACCGAGTTGGTTGCTCATGAAATATGGGTCAAAGTGAAGGATGAATAAAGAAAATCGAAACAAACCAATTTTTATTATTTTGTAGAATATCTGAGGAAACATCTAAGACATAAAAAATTTTTTTCGTTTTTTTAACTTTGACGAAATTCGGTGTTGAATCCTTATATCCACGAAAATAGGTTACACCACTGTATTACATAACCGGTATCCTAAATAATAGTGCAAACGTGTCTGTGTGTAAAATCTAACTCTTTTACAGGAATTGATGAAATGTTGAAAAAATTGAAAATAAAACATGATTCAGGTGAAGGTAAGTTGGCATTTATATTTAATTTGGTCTGTAACTATTCAATTTCAGTTCCCCCATTATATTGTCAGTTAGACTTCTACAGATATACAGGATAATAGGAACTTTTAAAACTATTGTCTGAGCAAAGTAGAAGGTTTTTTGAATTTAATCCATTATTTTTATGAGAATTGGAATAACAGCACCAAAATTATTGTTAGTATTAGAATGTCTTTGTGTTGATAAAAATTAAATTTTTTGTAAGTTTACATTGAAATGAAACACATTTCCCTCCTAGTCCTAGAAATTTCAACCTGAAAAAGTCACTAATTTTGAATGAAAATAGGCCTCTGTAAAAACAAATTTTGGAGTTTATATTTTTATCAACGCAAGGACATTCCATTTTGAGGCTGCTATTCTAATTCCCATGAAAATAATAAAAAAAATTCTGAAACATAATTTGTGTAGGGATATAGAATAATCCATTCAGAAATATCTCCTAGTTTGGTTTATTAGGACTCCTGTACACTTTTATCCCTATCTATGTATTTTCTCTCAAACAGGAAATTTTTCTCTACCCTTGTTCCTGATAATAAACTTTTTTTTTTTTTTAGAGGAATTGGATTTTGTAAAGAGTTTGAACTTTCCACTCAGAAACAACTTCTAGGTTTTTTTATTGTGACATCTGTACACTCATCTCTTTCTATGTATAACTCTTTCATATAGTGACCATTTGTCTTTCAAACTGTAATTTTGACATGTGTCCAATTCTTCATTTTTTTTTCTATTTGACTCCATTGTTTTATTTTGATATTACAGAAGAGTTGAATATTTTATTGGTTGGGGCTGGAGATATTAGACATATTTTAACAACTATAGCCAGATCCTGGAGACATTCCCCTCATAAACTCCATGTAAATATACAAAACTTTGATTACTTGTTTAATCATTAATATTCTTGCTTATAAGTTATTGAGAATATGCTCCACAATTTGGTGTGATAAGTGGAGGATCCATGCTGATTCTGAAAAACTTACAGTAATTCTAGTTATGTAATTAATTAATTATAACTTTGGAGTTTGCACTCATCAAATTATTTGGTAAATATTTGTGTGAAACAATTTTAAATGTTTTGTGATAGGGGATTGAAATTTGGCACAGGGCTGTCTGATTGTTGTTCGTTACTTTATAAGAATTCGAATCCACTGCTTGCTATCTTTTTGCAGATGATAATCCAACTTGCTACCAATTGAGCTATTCCACTGCCAGTCCTCTTCAGAAATATTTTATTTTGTTATTCTAGTTTTATGTGTTGGAAACATCATTAGAACTGTATGCTAGAGATATGTTATTATTAAACATTGCCCTGGAACCTCAGAATAGAATGGGTTTACAAGGTCAGTACTGAATCATTCAAGTTTTTGGCATCTGGGTGGACTATCCAATCAGACAAACACAGTCACAGGGTAGCAGATGCTCTTTAAGGATATGCATACTCTGTTTCGTTAATTTTATGCATCAATTTATAGTAAAAATAGATTTGAACTTAATTTTTTAGCCTAAAGCTAATAGCTTGAAGAACGAACTCATGGAAAATCTTGTCTGTAGAATGATCGGCTTATTGGTGTGTAATGAATATACCAAATATTCATTATTAGCTATGTGGACTCTCTGAAAGGGATGCTGAGTTGACAAACCCACAAACCAAATAAACTTTTCTAGTTACTGTGGACTCTTTGGTAAAATTTCTGTTTTACTTTATTTTTTTAAAGAGAAAACTGAGCTATTTTTAGAAGTTTATAGTAATACGTTTATAAGACAACAAACCTGTGAAAATATTCAGTCTCTGTCTACAGAATTTATCAAGTATGTTTCCCTCTTTCTTTTACATTTATATACCGTCAGACTCTTATACCACTATCTTTACTCAATGGAAGAATCCAATGTGGTGCATATTAAAGATCTTTGATAAAATTTGATCATTAGAGAAGGATAAGATAATTTGCAACTGGTATCTCACTGTCTTCATCAATTCAAACTGGAGCAGAAAACTATGATGGATCAGATTAGTTGAGATCACTTTCTAGCTTATATGGAGGAAAGTTATTGAAATATTGATTTTTTTTCTTTGTCAGAATGGTGACAGATTTTGATTATTTAGAGAAAAAACTTCCAGTGTTTGATCTGTCACAGTTAAAGGTATAAATTTTATCTTTTTTTTTATCAATGTCTTGAGCTTTTATTCCTAACATCACTTGCTCTAATTCTATATATCATATCTTCCTTGATATACTTCCAATGTAAAAAGTGTCAGTTCTTAACCTTAGGTTGGTATTTTTTACAATACAACAGTTCAGGGCTTGTCGGAAACATTTCTAAAAAAAGCTGTATTCTTTCAAATGCATGGTATAACTTCAAGTGTCCAATACTAAAAACTAAGTGAGGATTAACCAATCCATGTTCTAGAAATAAACTAGATTGAGAATCTTTGAGGTATGATTCTTTCAATCTATTTATGTTTTTTAGTTTAAAGAAAGGGATTTTCTGGAAGGAATTTTTAAATTTTGGAGAAATCCTGATAAAGCTGTTTTTGATGTGGAGAAATGTTGGTAAGTGAATATTTTACATTGATATTGTAATATCTTAAACACCAACATTAAGATTTATCAATATAGACAATACAATTAATAGAATTCTTTTTTTTCCATTTTTGATAAACTCTGACTATACCACACTATTTGATCTTATTATATTATATTATAGTATATAAATTCAACATAAATCCTTCACATAAAAAAAGCACAAGATATGGGGATATACTATTGTATTTCTGACACTTCAACATTTAAAACACTAAAAAAACAGCTTTAATGAAATGATGGGTTAATTGTCAGAAAAAGTATATCTGTATATCTTCTTTTCTTATGATGTGTCTTATGAACAGTGATTTTAGGAAGATCTAAACAATGACCAGTTATATTCTATGGAAATTGTTTTTGTTATTTTCAAGGATCTGAGTCAAGGAATAAAAAAGGAGAAAACTTAGTCTTTTGATGTTGTTTTCGATATTTTCAGGGATCTGAGAGAAAGAAAGAGACTAGGTGTAAGATATGATTCCAAGAAAAATGTATATGACTGGGATTATCATATGAAACTTATTGATACTGGGGTGTGTATAAAATGAGATCTCACATAGGGTACAAGCTCTGATATTATACCCTGTTATCTCTTCACTGATGCAGGTCAGAGGGGCTGACAAAAAAAAAAGGTTTTAGTTGTTTAGTTGGGACAATAAACCTAGACAATTCCAATTGAGTTGTAGGATATGTACAGATTGTGAGCTGGTGTTTTTATCCTTTCTTAATTGCACTTCCTCCTGGGCTTCAACAATTAAGCAAGTGTCATTAGATGTATCTTCACCTTCTGATACAAGTTGTGATTATTTCAGGCTGACATTATACATAAAGTAGAATACAATAACTGGAGAGAGAGTGGTATAGCATTTACAATCCGAGATGGAACGTATGATATACCGAATAAAACTCTGGCGTCTGGTATGGTCTTTACTCAGGTTTGTTTCTCTTTTTTTCTGATCCTGGTTTTGATTTTTAATGGATGATGGACCATGAGACACAGTGCATAAGAATGTGGCATCAGAATGAGAGGACTTGTTAGTTGTTATAAAATCATTAAATATGTATTCCAATACCGGAAAGTAAAACTGGACATTTACAAGAATAATAAGAACACAGTTAAATAATTACTACTACATAGCTTTCGGCTCACAACCATCAACCATCTTAAGATATAGCTCAAAACAAGTTTATATGTTATATAGACACAGCTTTATGGAACAACAATCACTGGTTAAAGTTTTATGCAACGTTTCGACGTGTTTCCCCCGTCGTCCTCA